GCATCGAAATGAGGGGTGATTTTCGTACGGTAATTATACTGCTGGGGCGAAAGCATGGTGGATTCGATGCTCGGCATTGCAGCCTGTGGTAAATCTGAGACACTCAGTGACATCGAGAGCATATTTAAGAAGCACGTACTCGAGTAGTTCTTGTAAGCCTTCACTATAACATCTCGCTTCAGATCCAACTGTTTCTCGTACGACAGCATCTGTGACGATAAAAACGAGTGTAACACGAAAGAAAAATGGGACGTACTTGATACTGGCATCCAGCGCAGCCACCGAAATATTTGCACTGCACGCGAGTATCATCCCGGAGGTCAGGATTCGGCGTGACGACCTCTAGGAGATCCGCCAGAGAATGCATACGCGCGTCCCTGAAAATCCGCACGCGTACGGTCTCTCCAGGAAGCGCGAAGGGTACCACGACCACCCAAGGACGGCTCGATTCTGTAGTTGTGGCCAACGCAGTACCTGGAAAAGCTTTGAATAAAATTGACAAGCATTCGACGGTGGACAGACATACCTGACGAGGATAACGCAACGACCTGCATCTCCAGCTCTTGGTGATATTCAAAGGGCGACTTCCTGTCGGTCCCCTCCTCCAGCGCCGTAGCAACATATTCCTCCCCAAGAATCTCTTTAATCTCCTGCCACAGTACGTCGTCGGACGAGCACGACTCGGGCAGCGCTGCCCATTGCGCCCTTCTTTTTTGGGATTTGGTTTGCCTAGGAGCCTTGAAAGAGGCATTAGGCTGGTCCCGCGTCCCCAATCGTGGTTTCTTTGCCACGGGGCCCACTGAAGATGGCGATGGGGGTCGCACCTCGCCGGTGCTCGGAGTTTCTGCCATTCGGTTTTTTAGATACGAAAGGCCGATAAACGGCGGCGGAGAGTATTTCGGTGGTGAATAGAGACCTCGGCGAGCGACTGGAGCGCTGTCGATTGATCGATAAGACCAAGGAATGAGCAGCAACGGTCTGACTCTGAGCATGCAAAAGCAAGTTTATTCTCTGGTACGTAGCCAAACACGAGCACTGCCTCCATCATACACGCTCACGTGTTCTTGCCTCTGGAACGCGCACTGCCAGAACTTGAATGCAAAGATTGAGCCTACGTATATTGAGCACCTCTTAGCACATTTGTATGGGCTCAAAATCTTCTGCTGGAATGGCCAGAGCTCGCGAGAGAACAAAGCGTATGGGGGCTCACTAAATCTCATTCTACATCCTGATCGTAGCGTCACGGTCTGTTGAGCTTCTGTTCATAGAGAACTATAGAGAGAATAGGCTAAGAAGTATAGGACTTGTCGAGCTCAAGAACGCTCGCGAGGAAATCAAGGCGCTTGCGGGAAAAGTTTCCACACACATTTCCTTCGATGTGTCAAACTATCCTAAGTACTGTAATCTCAACGGAAGATTTAGCAACTGCCCAGTTTCTCGTCCGGTCGGACCGTGCCGTGTAATGCTACCTGCGCTGATAGACCAGCCCGATAGCTTGTGATGAATGGCTCAGGATTGATGGTATGGTTTACCGAGAGATGGGTCGCTGAGGTGTCTTCGGCATCAGAAAGAGGCACCCACAACGGCCCACAACCGACACTCTCGTATAGAGAAAAGTCGTCCCATATCGGACGGCGCTGGTTACGCTCGGATGGATTGACAGACCAAGTTAACAAGCTGTAATTGCCTTGGTTCGTTGCAGCAACCAGCATTGCTGTTCCCGAACACTCTGAGCGCCTGAGAGCAGACTGGAGAGATTTGTTGATCGTAGAATCTACCCGCCTCATAATTCGGATCAAATTTCAATCCAAAATAACCGGCGGAAGGACTGCATCTAAATAAACGAATCAAACCCCAGTCACTCCCGCCAGCCACTCTACAAAAAACATAAGTCGGTAGGGACAGAGAGGCAGGTCGAACACACCTCGCGTAATCTCAAAAGCTGCAAACGTGCTCGCTGCTGCTGGAATACTAGCCCGCATGTAAGTTCGAGATCAGGGAGCGGGCATCAATTCGTTTACCTTCGCAGTACTGAGGAAGTCGGGCATTAGCGGGTTGGATAATACAGTTAACAAGGGTCACGACTCACAAGACGGTGATAGCCCACGGAAGAGCCCTGCGCTGTGCGTGTGTCAATACTTGGAATGGAAGCCGGAACGAGAAAGAGAAAGAGAAGCGGTAAGACATACACTCCAGCTTCGGCCACGATCATCTTGGCCTCGCGGGCTATGTACTGCACAGGCGTTCCCGTCGGCGGTACGTCCCGTAACTGGACGCGCGATTTGATGACATCTATTGCGAGAAAAGGTGAGGCTCGACCTCTCATATCATTGAGCCAACGACACACCCAGGGGGTAACACGCAAGCCAATAGGCCATCTGCATCGGATGAGGTGAGTGGACATGTGCAAGAAGATTCAAAGACGCACACCGCCGGTAGCACCGCTGGCCAACAGTGTCCAGACGGGCAGTTGGTCGCCATATCTGGCGCTAAATTTCCGCTTGGAAAATTCGTACGCTACAGTGCCTGTCAACGCGACGTCTGTTCGAATAATTCCAGTCCCTGCCTGTGTAGAATCTGGACCGAATGAGGTTTTAGCTCAAAATCAGTCTATGAATGCGAGTATGCACCCTGCGTAGGCAGGTATCTCGCGCGCGACGGTCACCTGCGTACAAGACAATGAGCCAAAAAGCAATGGGATGGGAGGGAGCATACCCAGTATCCGCGCATTATGCCCTTGCGGAAGCCCCATTCGGACCACATCTCGCGCGCGACTGCTCGCAAGCGTTTGTCGGTCTTGTCCCCGTACTGGCCTTGCATCCTTACCTTGAACATCTCCACTACAGTCCATGGTTCGAGTTAAATTCGGAGGCTATGATTGGTAGCGCACCGGGGCTGGCGAGTATTGCGGTGGCGACGCCTGCCATGCTGCCAGCAAGTGCAATTTCGGGCAGAGACAGCGGAAACGGCGATATTATCCGCTGTGATACGCCGTAGGACGCAAACAGGAGGGAGTTGACGCCTGCGCTACCAAGAAGAGGACTTGCCATCCCTATGGCACTCGTATATATTGAACTCTCTGTCTCGCTGTCAGACGCACCTTTGTAGAGCGCTAGAAATCCCTCTTTGCGCACAGTTTGCATTATAATGTCCATCGGCCCTTTCTTTCCGCCATTGCAATCAAATGTCTACACACAGTTAAAGTTGAAAGAAACTCACGAACATCCCCTCTGTGATGCGGAAACACAGAAGCGCCCATTAGAATTCTCGACTTCTGAATCATGAAATACGCGGCACGGACTTGGGGCGATCTGTGCGCGCGTCTTCACGGTGTCAAGCGGATGGCCCACCAGAACCTGTACAGCGCCGCCGACGCTGCCCGCCAGCAGCTCGTTTATCGTCGCTAGAGTGCTCATGGATGAAAGACGAAGGAGGCGTACAGCCGAAAGAGGAAACGTCACGACTCCGGTTCCCACCACGTGATCCAATCGCCCCGCGTCAGGGCTGACTTTTGCCAACAAAGCATATCCCTAGTAGGCCCCCGGTCACTACCTTTGAACTCGGTCCGCGATAGCATAAATCAGCGCCCCAAAATGACCCCCAGGTCGGTCCGAAAAAGTGCATAAATCAGCTCGAAAATTGGCAACCTCCGTCCTAAACTGCATAAATCTGCGCATAGCGCGAGAATTTTTTCGGTCTTTTGTACTCCCTGGGGCCGAGATTGAGGCTTCAGAGAGCGAGAAACTGAAACAACACCTGCCCGGGGGCTCTTATGGCAGAGGAAACCGGAATTCTGGCCCTTGGGGCAAGAAATTGGAATTTTTGGGCCTATATGTTCGTCCGAAAGTGCATAAATCAACTCACCAGGTGGAAAATTCATTGCATAAATCAACGTGGATTTCGTTCGAAAAACAGACCGGGTTCAAAGGTAGTGACCGGGGGCCTTCCCTAGTCAGGAAACGAAAGGAAGTTGGATTGAATCCGATGGCATTATGGCCTGCGGTGGTCTTACACGTTCTGTGCGTTGGTTGTTACTGCTGAGTTCACTGGGCCGTATAGCGGTCCGCACAAGGTCCGCAGCTTTCTCTTTCACAGGTTGGCATGGCATACAATCGGGGTTTCGATTTTGATCATGGTGGTAAGAGGAGAAGCGCCAAAGGGGGAGCAACATATCAAAAGCAGGAACAAAAAAACAGCGTACGCAATTTCATTCCGAATCGGGGAATCGAACCCCGGGCTGCCGCGTCCTTATTACGCTACCACGGGTAACGGAAGTGAGAAGCGGCAATGTTGACCCCTACACCAATTCGGAGGTGAAGAGAGACCTCAGTTTAGCCGGTAGGTGGCCTTGAAGCCGATCGCAATTTTAACCGTGTCTTGGGTTTGGGTAAAATTTTCGAACGGGAGACTCATCGTGCTGAATAAATGCTTGAATGACCGTGCATATGACATTCACCAGTGAACACCCCGGGAGAGGTCAGCTAAGGATCGACCAATCATTGGAAAGCGAGGGCTGAGACTTGTTCAAAGCACATTAGATCTGTTCCAGCTACACAAACACAAAAGCTTCAGTTCAATATAGTATTGATAGAGGGTGCAGTCCCTCACTTTTAGTTTCTTGAGGCCCTCCCCGAAATCATCAACCACTTCCTAATGAGGTTATGGAGGAGTTCACTTACTTCTTTCCCGTTGCAGTATTATTTGGCTGTTTGCCTGCGTCCAGTGTACCAATAAGTAGCAAATTGCACGAAAAATGTGTGTGATGCCGACTGGTATCGACCAGCTTGACAAGAGTTGCGTGACCCTCGATTCATGCTGGGCGTGAATAGGCAACGGGTCTTGATTCCGAATTTCCTGGGGATCCTGTTAAAAAAAATGGTCTGCAGTCGCATGAAGAAAGTACCAGTAGCATGAGACCTTACGCAGGCCATGTTATTATCCAAGCCGACCAAAAAAAGTTGCTTGATCCAACGGAAACGGATTGAGATTGAAAGCAAAAAGACCCTCGCCGGGATTTGAACCCGGGACCCCGCACAACTGAAATGAATCCCAAAGCGCGTATCATTCTACTAGACCACGAGAGCGGAGGATCGTTACCCGAAAAGTAGCATCCATGACTTGACCGCCTCAACGTGCCTGAAAAGAAGGACAAAATTTCGTGGAAACAAGTTTCGAGGAAAAGAGCTTGACCAGGCGGTAGAGACCAGACCGGCACACAACGACGCCCAAGCACAAATTTGGAAGATCGAATCTTGAAGGTCGAGGGACGGTCAAAGTTCTGCGGAGGCTTCCCTGTGCTCCTGGGATCTGCAAATGTCATTAGCTCGTCGGAGTCGAGGTACTGTAGCTGACTTACGACTATAACTACTTTTGCAACGCGACCATCGCGCGCATACACCCCCGTTCCCAATTTTTCTAGTCGTACTCCATGCACTTCCAGGCCCACGATACCGCGAAAGAGGAGGGACCGCAAGACGAAGAGCAGACGTCACGAGCGACTGCAAAAGATGGGTGCGAAGAGACGGCTCACGCAGGAGGAATCGAATCTGGGCCAAGCGGTGACAGTACGCCAAGTGTGCGGCGCAATACGAGGAGGGGGCGTGGGGAACGAGGTGGATGCTGGAGAGATGCGGTGCAGCCCTACGTAGCGCGCCGCCCGTCGACGGCGCCGTACTACCCTCCCCCTTTGTCTTGGTCTCCGAAACACCTATCCACCACCATCAACAGGCAACGGCGGCACGCCGTTCCCCTCCACATCGAGCTCCCCCGATGGCACTGACAATGGAGTCCGATGTAAGATAGCTGGAGGTCGATACTTAGCAGCGCGCGTCTGCGAGTAAATGCGCGACGTGAACAACGAAACCCCGCGTGCACGCACTCCATGCCATGTGTGACTCCGTCCTCCCCGCGTCGCATTCCCCCCAGCGTGCATCTGAACGGGCTACGACCGCCGTAGGCATGCTCAGCCGCCGCCGGAGAAGAACGGCTGCGGAGAGTGTATGCCCTGCCCGGGGACGATTGTAGCTGGGAGCCTCGGGGGTGTATCGGAAACCAGACCCGCCAGCGCGTAAGGGGGCGAAAAGGCAAAATCCAGGTGTCAGGAGTTTGAGCCTGGGGATCGCGCGACGCTGAGATGGGTACGTCGGCCGCGGGAAGGATGGGCTCCCAATATCGATGATCGTTTCAAGCCTCGTGCGTGCATCAACCCCAGCGATGTCCAGGTACAATCCTACGAAGCGAGCCCAAAGCGCGCCCATGTATACGGCCGGGGAAGAAGAGCGCCGCGAGGGTCCTCCGAGACGGCGACAATGCAGCTGTACACGTACGTGACGACAAAGGCACGGGGGGACAGGAAGACTTCGAGGTTTGCTCGCCGGACGTGTACCGGTGAGCATAGGGCTGCAACGAATCGGGAGCGGGAAGAGGCGGATGAGGCGAAGCGCGCTCGAGTACGCGTGCTGCGCGGGTCGGCGCGGTGCCGGAGGTATACGCAGCTCACGCTTCAGCATGCCCGCCTCGAAGTCTTGTGTAGCGGGCATCGAGACGCTATCGCAAGCGTACGAGCTGAGGCGAGCCGACAGCCGCTAACCAAAGAGCGGGGCGGAGGACAGCGCTGACGACCGCCGGCGTCGATATGCCATGCGTGGATGGGCATCGCAAGACGGGTGTGTATGCCAATAACTGCTGGCCGGCCGCTGGGGATCGCACTGAGGACGCGGGGACGACACCACCTAGGAAGAGGACAACCGAGCCGAGGGGCTACAGTATCATGAGCAAGAGAGCAGAAAGAAGGAGAGAGGGAGGGGGCGCACCTTGTCCATCACGTTGCAGGCGACGACGCATACTGCACGGCAAATGTCGACCTAGAGAGCCTTACGAACGGACGGGCGGGGAGCGCAATAATCGACGTCGGGAGCCGGAACGACGAGCCCGAAAGGCGTGAAACGAGGTGGAGGACGTCGCGCAGAAGCGGAGGTAGATGTAGGTGCGCCAGTACGCGTGCAGTCCGTTCGCAGAGGGACAAAGCCTCCGCCTCTCCCTACTCATCCCCGCCCCGTGCCACTAAGAACCCAATGCTTACACGCCGCCACGCACCGCACCGGGCACCGATGCTCGCGAGCCCTTCACCCTCTCCACCTCCTCCTCCCCCGCCATGTCCATGTCATTGCCCATGTCCAGCCCGTCCTCGGTCGGCGACGAGTGGCTGCGGGGACTGCACACGCTGGCCCGCGACGGCGAATGACGCTCTATTCGCGAAAGGGGGAGAGAACGCGGGAGGTGGAGAGGACGAAAGAGGGTGCAGACGGAACCAACAAACGCTGCGGAGTGGAGCACGAAGGAAGGGTGCAGAAATGGAGAAGACACGAGAGGCCGAGAAGCCGCAGCAGTCGCAGACGCCGACCCCTGACGTCCCATATGCGCCCTCGTGCTCAGCGCCGATGGCAGGGCGCCGCGTGGCTCCTCGGCGATGAATCGCGCCCCGTTCGAAAGAGGGGAGAGGTGGATCGGACACAAGAGGGTGCAGCGGCGAGGAGGTGCGTAAGCGGAGAAGCCGCAGGTATCGCAGACGCAGACCCTCGATGTCCTCGTACTCAGCCCCGCATCGCGCGGCGCGCGATGAAGATCGAGGTGCAGCTCGGAGAAGAGGTCCGCGGAGGCGAGCGGGGAGGCGTTTTTGTTTCCGTCTACTTGGGCGTCGATGGATGCGGACAAGGGACTGGGTGGAGATGGAGAGGGAGGCTGAGGCAGAGACGTGACGACAATGAGCGCACGGAGAGTCCCGTGCACACGGCCATGCTGGAGGCGTGGCTTTGCGCTGGCGATTGGGCGAGAGTATGATGCGGTTCGGAGGGTGGGGTAGAAGTATCCTGAGGTAGAAGTATCCGTCCAGCGTATGCATAGAGGCTCGGAGACGAAGGAAGGCTCCCAGCGGTAGGGATGGGCTGCGGGCCCACAGAAGCCGTCGCCGTCTCTCAAAGTGACAGTGGTGCTGTCGATGGTCTCCTGCGCCGTCGAATCCAAAGAAAAGCGCTACGACGGAGACACGAAGGGCTGAGATCCGGATCGTGACGGAGGATGCGCGATATCGCCCACTTAGCGCGCGTGTGGCAGCGGGAAGAAGAAAGACTGGCGCTATAAGGCTGGGCTACGGAGCCATTGCGCCCGATGTCGACGGCGGTGGTTTTATCGCTTCTTGCGCCGCTGAGTCACGATGACGGAGAGGCGATAGGCTGCGATCTGGATTGGGATGGTGTGGTCCAGCACGCACGCGGGCATAGCTGTGTCTGCCGATATTGACAGCGGCGCTTTCCACGGTCTCTTGCACCGCTGACTCCTACGAAACGCACGACGAATGGGCCGCAATCCGGATTGAGACAATGATGAAGAAGCTTCAAGGGCGAAATAAGCATATTTACAGCTAAGCGCAGACAGAGAACGTACCCAGCCCTCGCAAGGAAGAGTCGTTTATACCAGTGGCGATGGAAAAGCCACCCAAATGTCCCCGCATTGCCGCATGTAAACCCCACGCCCATCCTTGAAGCTTGAGAAGCCAGACTGAAGGTCAAGACGACGAGGAAGCGCGCTGGGTACATCGAAATCCGACAGGCACGCTTGCACGCTTGGAGTATCGGTCACGCCTTTCGCGCAAACGCCGGGCGAGCGGATGCGTGCCGCGGGAGCGCATGGCGATCGGCGTGTCCCAGGTTGACCGTGGAGCTTTCGGCAGTCTCTTGCGCCGCTGAGTTTGACGAAAGGCGCGAAACAGCGGACACGAAGGACTGCAATCCGGATTGACATGTGGAAATAAGCTGCAGGTGCGAAATCAGTACATACCGTAGCTAAGCGTGGACAGAAAACGCACCTAGTATGTGGCCCTTGAGATGAGGAGGAGGTCTTTTGGGTGGTACAATACGTGGACAAGAGTGCAAGGCTGCTCGCGAAATATCGATTTTCGGACAGGATGCTTCCTCCCCACGCTGCCGCTTGCGAATTCCCATGCATGCCTCGGAGTGAGGGGACAAAGCACGCCAGGCCTTGGGGGTATCGACAGGCACGCTTGAATGCACGAGTATATGCACCGCGAACGTCGCGCTGTCCCAGATGGACCTTGGATGGACCGTGGCCCATTCTGCGCTCTCCTGCGCCGCCGAGTCCGACGAAACGCATGAAGCAGGGATTGCGAAGGAATGGGATTATGTCTGCGATGTCGGAGAAGAATCTACATGGGCGGAATCAGCATATTTTGTAGCTGAGGGCGAATAGAACGCACCAAGCCCTTGCAGGAAAGAGTGGTTCGTGGTGGGATGGCTGGGTAATCGCTTCCGCGATGTGTCCGTCTTGACCTGCACCGCACTACCACTAGAACACCATAGCGGTACGTGTAGTGGCCATGGGGAGCTAGACTGAAGGTACATACCAGCCTGAGGAAGCGCGACCGGCAGGTGCATCGGAAGCCGGGATATCCACAGGCGTGTTTGCAGCATGTCCTTGGCCTATCTTGCGGCCCATTCGCTCGCGAACGCGCGCAGTGAAGGAGATTGTGTGACCAGTTCTGGCGACGTTCATCATCGTCGACGTCAAGGTGGTGGTTTTTTCGAATCTTGTGTCGGACTTTCAGTCAAGCCAATCCGCTGTGTTTATGCATACGTTTATGACCAAGGACGGCGTCTGCAGTCAAATCTCTGGGAAGCCATGCATTGTAGAGTGCGAGAGAGACTTCATTTGAGACGCAGGTCGAGAGCAGGGGAAGCTGTAAGCAAACAGACACAACTATCGGCTCTTTCCGGGCCGTCGCTTGCTCTCAACTTCCATGGTCGCTTTTGTGCTTCGCTCTCGGGAGATTCTGGGTCTTGGTTCTCTCCCCTTTATTTCAGGGACCATAATCTGCCCCTGCACATTCGCTCCAACCTTTCGGCTTCCAACGTGTTGACTGCTTGCCAGGAAATAGTGAATAGAACGCACCTCGCACGAGAAGTTCTGCGCTTCCCCTCCTCAGGCGGCACCAGTGTGTAAGAGCAACTCGGACGTGGTGCACGGCGCACGCCCGCTGACAGTAGTGCCTCACCATTGCTTCACGCGGGAGACCGGGTTCGATTCCCGACGTCGGATGGAGAAATATTGACCATTTTTTGGCTTTGCCTTTCCTTTCCAAAGCGGCGCCATTGCTTCGTGTACAGGAAGGTACCCCGAACCCGAAAACCCCGGGCGTGGTGCGTGCGCCATTCGCGACCTCCCGGAATGTCTGACGCCGGGTTCTCATTACAGCTATCCCAAAGCCCAAAAGCTACCCTCCTGACCCGCCATTCATTAGAAACAAGAACTCGGACGTGGTGTACGGCGCACGCCAGCCTTCATTTCCATCGCGACTTCGGAGGACTGTGATGCTGTGGGACTGGGTTCGATTCCTGGCGTCTGAATATACGGGTATTCGATTTTTGTGTTCAAGCGAAACGTATGTCCTGACTCTTACTAAATCATTCAGGCCTCAGCCAAGCAACCTCTACGCATAACGCTTACTTTGAAATCCAAATCCCCCCCCCCCAGTCTCGAAAATGCGAAACACAAAACAGAACATAAAACACACTCTCATAGCCCTCCACCCACGTTAGAGAATAACTCGGACGTGGTGCGTGGCGCACACCCGCTGATGATTAGTCTTGTCCAAAATTATATATATGCGGGAGAGTGGGTTCGATTCCCGGCGTTCGAATAGGGCGTTGAATTCGTATTGCTTTTTGCGTCCCGCGATACCCACAGAAGGCTATCTATGATTCTACCAACGCAAGAAGGATAATTCAATGCAGGCACTTCATGATCACGGGGAGCTCCTTACTCGGAAAAATTACAACATCGATTTCGCTTCACCACTCCTCTCAACTCGCCACCCATGTGGGATGACAACTCGGACGTGGTGCATGGCGCACACCCGCTGGTGATGTAGTCGTCATTGAGTACTAGCCCTCCATTGATAGTAGACAAGAAATCGGACGTGGTGGACGGTGCACATCAGCTTCATGTGGAAGATCCTAGACCCGTCTGAGCCCGTGATGCTGAGGGACTGGGTTCGATTCCCGGCGTCTGAATGTGTGGGTGGTTATTCGGTTTTTGTGTTCAAACGAAAGGTATCTTGTGACTCTACTAAATCATTAAGGCCTCGGCCAAGCAACTTCGACCCTAATAGCTACTTCGACATTCAAAATTCCGATCACTCTGCCCAGCACAAACACAAAAAATTCCTCTCATAGCTCGTCACCCACGTTGGAGGGTAACTCGGACGTGGTGCATGGCGCACGCCCGCGCAAACTTAGAGTTTACCGAAGACTATCTGCCGCGAGAGATCCGGGTTCGATTCCCGGCGTCCGAATATGCACTGAGTGATGGTTCTTTCTTTTCCACTCAATCCTTGTCCTTCGTACCATATTCCGAACCTTCGATTCTCGGCGTTCAACCTAACTTGAATGTCCGATGCACACCGCAGAAACCGGGTTTCCGTTAACGTTGATGTTCCTTACGTCGTCTTGATTCACCCGGTGACCACTCCGCAGACGTTTGCTTGTTCAATTTTTTTTTGGGCATCTCAGTAACGAGTCTCAAGCCCACCCACTTCGCGGCGTGTCCTTCTGTCAATCTCCTGGTCATTCCCAATTTTCATTCGTACTCACACACGGTCCTCCTTTCCATTCCTTCCTCAGATTCCCCGCCACCAATGCCAAATGCCGATCTCAGTGCGCTCCCCAAGCAACCACCTCCTTGTCCGTAGTCTCTTATAAACAGACGGGGGTCGATATAGCAGGAGCAAATGCGCCCAACACGGTACGAGAGCACCACCCCATCGGCATGCACGGCTCATTCCGGCCACCGGTACCGCTTCACATTCCTCTAACGCACACGGGCAGCGACTACTATGCACATGCTCAGTCGCCGCTGGGGAAAGCGGTTGCGGGGACGGCAAGCGCCGCCTAAGGGAGATTGTAATCACGGTGTCTCGGCGGCGGATTGCGAGTCGGGAGAGCCCGGGAAGTATCGCGGAATCGCAGGGGACGCTGCAACTGCACGCGGCGTACACGAGCAGCGATACCGGGAGCAGCAAGAGGTACGCGCGCAGTAGGATGCTACAAGGAGGGAGAGGGGAGGAGCGGAGCGGATAACAGACCAGTGCTTGTACGAAGCTTCAGCACTGCCGCCACCGGTATCTTGCAGCCTTGTGTACAGGCGCGACGCCGCGGGGTAGGGCGTTGGAGATGACGCGTAGCGAGCGCACGTTTTTGAGCAGATGCGCATGACGGGCAGCGACTCCGCTGAACGCGACGAGCGATACGATGTGGTGTGCGGACTACAGCGTCGGTGCATGCCCTCGTGAGTCCCGTGAATTGGAGGGCATTGAGACAGGCGTGTGCAGCATGAGACCGCCAGCGGCTGAGGATCGCAGTGAGGGATGTGGGGACGACGCCACCCAGGAGGACGACGACCGAGCGGTGGAGCTGAAGTGCCGTGAGCAAACGAGGAAGAAAGAAGAGGGAGGTAGCGCACCTTGTCCGACTAGCTGGGCTCCCCGTCGTTCCGGATTGGGCGTTGCAGGCGACGATGCGCAGAAAGCGCCCCGAGTACCTCACGAACAGACTGACGGGGATCGCAAGAATGAATGTCGGCAGTAATGGAGGCTGGGGTGGGAACGACGCGACGCAGAGCGCCGAGGCGAGTCCGCAAATCGAGGTCACGGTGGATGACGTCGACATCAAGGACATGCGCTGCTGCGTGCTGCAGCACCTCCCCCGAGAAGGACAAAGGACGGAGCCACTCTACCGCACAGCCCCGTCCCCGCCTCTTCCCGCCCCACACCCTCCCTCATCCGATACTTACACTCCACTGCCGCTCAGCGCACCGGGCACCGATGCGGCTGCTCGCCCTCCCCCCCTCCCTCTCCTCCTCCTCGTCCTGCTCCTCATCTCCCACCATGCCCATACCCGTATCCACATCCATATCCTGGTTTCCCAGAGCCAAATCAAACCCGCCGTCGCAGGGCGCAATTGCCCGTACGACGCGGTGCACTCCTTCGCCGCGCAACGCATGAACATCGATATTTTGGAAACATGTCCACGTCCATGTCCTCGGGGAAGAGTGGCTGCGGTGACTGCACGCACTGGCCGTCGACGATGAAGGGCGCGGGACGTGTGGCATCTACGTGAGGATACGCGCCAGACGCATGAGGCGGAGACGCCGAGGGTGGAGAGGAAGAACGAAATGAAGAGCGCGAAGACGCAGGAGGCGAAGAGAGTGAAGGGAGCGCAGCAACCGCAGACACCGACCTCCGATGCCCCGTATGCATGCGCATGCTCAGCCCCGTGGAGTCGCTCCGCATCACGGGCCGCGCGAGGAAGTCGAGATGGAGCTCGGAGAGGACGTCCGCGTCTGCGGAGGCGTGTGTGGAAGCGGGTGCTAACGAGGCAGAGGTGGGGGTGGGTGGGGACGGAGGTGCGTGTCCATTTGCGTCTGCGCCTGGAGCAGCGGGGGCCAGGGAGGCGAATGGCAAGGATGCAGAGGTGAAGGTGAGCGGGGATGTACAGACGGAGGCGGGCGTCATGAAGCGGATCACGACGAGCGCAATGAGTGTCCCAGATGCCTGGCCACGGTGGCTCTGTGCTGACGATTCAGGGAACGGAGGGCGCGGTTCGGAGGGTGGGTTAACGGAGGCGGAGGCGTCCGCCGGGTGTGTGCTTAGAGGCTCTGCGGGGTAAGTATGGGCTGCGGGCTCACACACGCCGTCGTCGTGTCCCAAATCGACAGCGGTGCTCTCCACGGTCTCGGGTGCTGTCGAGTGGGACGAAAGCAAGGAGGGGGACGCGAAGGACTGAGAGCGGGACTGCGACGGTGTATGCGTAATTTCGTCCGTCCAGTGAGCATGTGGAGGCTCGGAGAAGACGGGAGACTCGGCGCAATAATGCTCGGATGCGGGGCCATGGTAGGTACCGTGTCCGTGCCCGATCTCGACGGCCGTGCTGTCGATGGTCTCTGGCGCTCTCGAGCTGGACGAAAAGCGCGATGAGGGGACGCGGAGGACTGAGAGCGGGACTGCGACGGTGTATGCGCGATCTTGTCCGTCCAGCGTGTATGCGGAGGCTCGGAGGAGACTGGAGACTCGGAGCGATAAAGCTCGGGGGCGCGGGGTCACAGCAGGGTGGGCGCGTGCCGTCTCCGTATCCAAGATTGACGGTAATACTTTCGACGGTCTCCTGCGCCGTCGAGTGCGATGGAAGGCCCGAGGAGCGCGACGCGAAGGACTGAGATGTGGATTGCGACGGCGGATGGGTGATCTCGTCCGCACAGTGCGCATGTGGAGGCTCGGCGCAATCAGGCTGGGCTACGGACCCATACGCGCCGTGTGTCCGATATTGACGGCGGTACTTTCGATGGTCTCTTGCGCTACCGAGTCCGACGAAACGCGCGATGAAGGCGACGCGAAGCGGATTGGGATGGCGATGAAGAAGCTTCTTGAGCGAGATAAGCATACGTTGCGGGTAAGCGCAGCCAGAAAACGCACCTGGCCCCTACGAGGATGAGCTATTGGTGGTCGGACAAATGATTCCGGGCGTCTCGCGAAGGAATGATCTTCTTCTTGGGCCTGCGTCTCAGGAATGCTTGTAATGTGCGCGTCGTAGGTCTCGGCCCCAGAGCCATAAGTGCCGAGGTCGTCGCCGTGCCCCAGATTGACAGCAGTGGCTCTTGCGCCCGTCGAGATTGACGAAACGCACAAGGAGGCGGACACGAAGGACTGCAAGCCGGATCGGGATAGCGATGAAGAAGCTGCAGGCGAAAAATCAGCACGAGTTGTGGCTCAAGGTAAGTAGACAAAGACCGCACCTGGCCCTCGCATGGAATAGTCATTCGTTGTGGGATGGCTGGATGAAGGCGTCGTCTATGATGTGTCCTTCTGAGCCTCTCCTTCGCTGCCACTTGCTGATTCCCCATCTACACCTTGGAGAGTCCAGCTGCGGCTTGAAACTGACCAGGAGGCGCTAGGTAGTTCAGAATCGACAGGCATGCTTGTAACGTGCTCTTTGAGTACATCGTTCGTGCTTGCGGCCCATTCGCTCGCGGCCGTTGACGGAAGCGCACCGGAAGAGATGGTGGGTACCAGCCCAGGCGGGGACGGGCCTGTAGTTCTCATTCTGGCGTTTCTTCATCAAGGTGGTGATTTTTTGAGATTTTGCAGCCAGTCTTGCAGCCGAAGCGATTCGCAGCGGTCACCAGCAGGAAGGAAGGGAATTGCTATCCATCTTGCGTACAACCCGGGCCTTTGCATATAACGGAGGGGCGCGAGGGATTTCCGTTGAGCGCAGACATGAGGTGAAGGCGGGAGGCTGCAGGTAAATAGAGACAATCATCGGTCCGGGCCATTTCCGGGCCGTCTCTTGCTCTCGACTTCCATGGCGCCATGGCGTAGCTTTCGTGCAACTCGCTGGGGATTCTGCATCTTGGCTCTCTCGGCTTTCCTGCAGGAAATCTTTCGGTAGACCTTTGGTAGACCTCGGAAGGCTGTGACTCAACGATCCTTCGGCGTTCGCGGATTAAAACTTCAAGTTTCGGCTTGGTTTCGGCACTCCGAACCACGCCGATTCATCGAAAACGTCCCTTCCCAACGCAGCGCCGGTATTGCAGAGTAACTCGGACGTAGTGCACGGTGCACACGCGCTACCAATCATCTTTTATGATACTTCCTGTGCGCGGGAGACTGGGTTCGATTCCAATTCGATTCCCGGCGTTCGAATAAGAGAATATTAATCTCGCCTTTTTTTTGGCCTATTTCTAGAAAACGAGTGCTGTGGTCAAACAAGCACGACTATCTGGAATTTCCTTGCTCTTCACCTCTATGATAAAGCGTTTTTGTTTGGCCTCTCCAGCTTTCACTTGCCACGCATTCCCCAAAGACTCGCCGCGTACACCTTGCATCACAAGCTCTAGTCTTTAATGGGCGATTGTGCGCGAGTTAAAACTTTCGGGATACTTCAAGAATACTTCGAACCACGCTTACTCGCCGAGAACATCCCTTCCTAACGCGGCGCCCGCACTGCAGAGCAACTCGGACGTGGTGCGCGGCGCACACCCGCTGGCCATGACGCATCATAGCTTCTTGAGCGCGGGAGACCGGGTTCGATTCCCGACGTTCGAATGCCAGCCCTCCCCGAGAGTCGAGGTTCCCTGTTTTGGGTTCAATCCTCCGGGTCCAAACCCTTTTTGCGTATAATATTCCGAGGATGAAGCCTCCCGCAGTGCCCACACACAGCACGTAAGTATGCACCAAAATTCCACCGCTCCTTTTACTTTCTGACATCAGAGGCTGTCTCTCAAGCCCAAATCGAAAGCAGCCCTCCCAGCCCACCATTCGTTACAAAAAAGCACTCGGACGTGGTGCACGGCGCACACCAGCTTAATTTGTAGCCATGCAGAACACTGTGATGCTGGAGGACCGGGTTCGACTCCCGGCGTCTGGATGTTGTCCACCCGGAGGTTCTTTTTGTGAGAAGTCTGAAGACGTGGGATGCCTCGATAGATGTGTATTGCTTCTCCAGTTTCTTTGAAAATTTACGGTTCTCGGGCCCCTGCCTTTCTAACCTTTCCATAGTTCAAAGGCTGCCCTCCTAGCCCGTCATTCGTACGTACGTACCGGACGTGGTGCACAACACACACCAGTTTCATTTGTAGCCATCCAATCAAACCAATGTGATGCTGGAGGACCGGGTTCGACTCCCAGTGTCTGAATCCCGAAGTTTCGGTACTTCTTTTTGGTTCAACCTTCAAACGAAGGACGCGGCGACTGTGCAGGTAAGCACCTTCGACGTGTGCTGCGCACTTTAACTTATAAGATTCAAGGTTCCCCAGCACAAACGACAAAAACTCTGCTCATATGATCACTATATAGCCCGCCTCAAACGTAGGAGAATGATTCGGACGTGGTGCGTGGTGCACGCCGGCTGAAACCTCCAGCCGATTGACACGTCTACCGCGGGACATCCGGGTTCGATTCCCGTCATCTGAATGAAAAAGCGGTGTGTCGCCTTATTTTCTCCATTTGCTTCCCCACTAGCGCTACGGTATCCCATCGAAGCAGGGTAGATTATGCTTGGATTATTATGCTCGACCGGTGAGATAGGTACCCCAAAACATTAGGCAGTTATTCATTCTGACACCAAAATTTCGTTAGATTCACGCTCCAACACTCTTTCTCATAGCCCATCATGTAGGAGAGTAACTCGGATGTGGTGCAGGCGCATATGGTGGCAGACAGAACTTCATGTCAAGCCGCAGTTTTGCCCGCTTTATTCCCAGATTTGAGATTTGGAACCGGAATGGCCAGGTTTGTCGATAAAATTTTCATTTCAGAAAAAACGGAGCTGCTGTCAAAGCGTGGGAAAAAGCGCGAAATCTGTGGTGGAAAACCAAAACTTTTATGTCCTGGAAACGTGTTCGGAGTGATGCAAGACACATTGGAATAGTGCCCTTGTGCACCATTCACTGTTTACAGACTCTTGCATGGGTACTGAGGACGTGGAACACCTGAAAACTTGTTGACGGATTCCCAAAGCAGTAATTAGCGGTGCGGCACAGCCACCGGTCCGGCTGATCCGCAATCAAAAGCGCGAAATCCTCTCGGAAAAACAATAAATTGAGCTTTTTGAACTTTTGGTCCAGCAGATATGTAAAGTGGGCTCTGCTGGTTGCATTTATCATGTTTATATGATTGTGTGACAAAAACTGAGTCGTCAGTAACGATTACCAAATCGGGACTTAGACTTGTCACAAAGTTCGGTCCGCCACCATACCTGCTCCTGGAAATCGTCTACTACGAGAGATCCGGGTTCGATTCCCGGCGTCCGAATCGCTTTCTCTCTTTTTTTCTTTTCGTTTGCTTCACCCACTAACGCTTCACACAGCAGAACACTATGTTATTGAAGCAAGAAGGATTCGTCACGCTCAGGCGCTCCGGGAAGCACTTTTGATTTCACGCGGCGACTTAGTCTGACATTCGAAATTTCGTCCGGTTTATGCTCCGAGTCTAACACTCCCTCTCCCAGCCCGGCTCCCATGTAGGCGAACGACTCGGACGTGGTGCATGGTGCACACCCACTTTGATTGGGTTTGCGGTGCCGATCCGACATTTTGAACCCGAAAGGATGCTGTTGCGCAAGGTCGATTCTCCGTTTCATTTCGTCTTTTCTGGTCAATTCACACTAGGTCTCTCAGATGAATGCTTCAAACCTCAGGCTGTCAGCTAGCTTAGCTACCTCTGACGTCTGGGGTACCCGTTTCAAAATTCGCTCGTAATCCGCCATGAGTCCGTAGTAGAAGAGGCCCGAACAAATCTTGATTAGAAGGAGCGAAGCAACAAAACATGGGTCTGAGACGTACGAAAAGGTCATGTTTACGTAAAGGTCTAGGCCCATCAACAGGTCCAGACCAGCCCATGCCCTTTTCGGTCGGAACCTGAGTGCCGAAGGCCATCAGCGGCGACCAGTTCGGCACGCCAAACAAATTGACCGGTAGTTTCCGTGTCACACCGCGTAACGGTCTTCCCATTTTCATCTCCTTCATAACTACGCCCCTTGTCCTTCTCTCTTGTCGCGGGACTGTCAGGGCGGCGCTGCAACGCGACAGCTGGCCAATGAGCCAGCGCCTGCTGCCAACACGCTCCATTTCCCCCAACCGCGCGTCCAGACACGCTTCTCTAACACGGGCGGTTTCCTTCCCAGGACGCGGTTCTCCAACCGCGCGTTTTCCTCGGACGCGTCCGTCTTTGCCCAATGAGGGGTCAAGTTCAGGTCCCCGCCTCCGCCGAAGACAACACGCCCCCGAATAAATGGCAACGACAGACGCGTAAAAATGTCATTAACTTACGCGTTCCCTTCAAACGCGCCCACTTTGGCAATTCCAAAGGAAACCTGTCGATTCCTGCTCATGCCACGCTCCTCGAATCCAAATTTTCACCAAGTCCTCGCCGAGCGGTCTCTGGCCCGTGCGCCAGCCCTATAAGAATGTCGTTTGGGCCCGTCTTCGCTCTTTTTCTTTACCACCGCCTGCCCCAGCCCCTCCCCACCATGTCTCACTATATCAGTCCCGCCGTCGCTGCCCAAGCTGCCGCCAACCACGCGGCGACGATCCAACAGAACCGCTGGCTCGCCAACGCCGCTACAGACGGAGACCTTCCTGTTCATGACCCACTGCCAGCCTCGCCAGCCGCTCGAGTCGAAGACGACGACCCCGATTACCGCATACTGCGTCGCATGCAGGCCGAGCTCGCGACTGCTAATCGCTCCCGCACGCTCCTCACTATCTTGAACAAGTCCGACACGGAGTGGACCCGGATGCTATAGTGAGTTTCGTCTCAATTTGCGCCCCCTTCTTCTTTTACTGACTGGCCTCCTTCGCAGCCCCTCGCACACGTCCAAAAACTTTGAGACGTTCATCCAACCGTCTGGGTTCCGCAACATCCAAGCCGACAGTCTGCCTCTCTGCCCCCACTATCTCAACCCCCGCCGCACGGCCACCGAGTGCCGTATGAGGTGTCGCTCTCATCGGATGCCCTCTGGCGAGACCATCTACTACTTGCAGGTCCCTCGCGAGTTTCACGTCTGCTCCTTTATCGGTTCGTCGTCCCCTTCGTTACCGTATTCTCTCATCCTCACGACTCCTCCTTTTTCTTTTCCAGCCATTCTGCGACATAAAGAACGCCGCCCGCGCAGCTCCCCCTCCCGCAAGCGCAAGCGCTTCATCAAGGGCGAGGACGACGACGAAGACGAAGTCCGCGATCTCCTCGCGACCCCTAGTTCGAAGCGGCGCGGGGGCGGAGCAGGGTCGTCTACAGCAGGGCCGTCTACCGCCTCCAGCTCGCCCAGCACCAGCCGACTCCCCGTAATCGATCTCTCGCTCGACGACTTCCTCAATGTGCCGTCGTCCTCTCCAACTCCCTCGCACTCTCTTTCCCCTGTTCGTCGCACCCGTCGGCCTGTGGGGCCGTGGACCGGCGCCGAGGCGCGGCTCAACCTACTCGGAGGTGCGTCCATGCCTCGCTTTCACTCGCCTGTAGCACTAACCTTTGGCGTTTATCCTAGACTCCGAATTCATCTCGTTGACCCGCCAGGACCAAACCATGATCAATGACGGCAGTACGTTCTTCGAACCCCTCCCTGTTCTACTCTAACTCGCTCACAGAAGACTACAACAAGCTTTTTTGGATGCATGACGGGCCCGACGGACGGCTCTTTCAAGACACGCGCTTCCCCGAGCGCGTGCGCCCCTTCAGCTCAGGTTATGCACTCGCCAAACGCATCGCGCTCGCCGGCCCCGTTGGACCCCATCAGATCACCAAATTCCTTACCGACCTCGCGACCACCGACGGCGTTTCGCCCACCGCGTGGACGAACTTCCTCGACATGCTCCGCGTTTGTCATGGGTGCGGCGGGCATTTTACCCCGGCCGCCCTCAACGCCCATCTCATCGTCGACGGTGACTACCACCGGTGTGGAAATCACCCCGCGTTCGACATCGGTGCGCCTCTCTCTTTTTTCGCTGCGCCAGCCTTCTCATCCCACTTCTCAGTCTCCCCCGTCCAATCCGTCCCGTACGGGGAGCTGCTGCGCCCGCACTTCGTTGGGTTGGCCCCGCCGCCCTTCCGCCGCACCGCCCCGTACTTCGAATATGCGCTCCTCACCGCGCTCGGCATCGCGCTCTCCGCCCTCAATACCGTCCTCGGCTTGCCCGACGACGTGTTTCAAGCGGCTCGCCTCGGAGTCGTTCCCTGCGCCGACTGCGCGCGGTACCGCACGGTGCACGCTCACCTCCAGCACTTCGTTCGTGGAGTCTGCGGGGACGTCGGCCCCCGCGGTTCCTGCTTCATCGCCCGTAACGCTGACGAGGTGACGGAGGTGGCAGCCACCGGCGAACGCACGACGCGCACCAACCCCGAGGCCTGACGCGTCGCCATCCAGTACTTATCTTGCCGTACTTATTTTCTTGCATAGTTCGCCATATTCCCAACTCGTGTAAAACATATTCTGCGCGTCGTAGCTTCTTGGCATGTCTCTCCGTCGTCTACCGTCTTTTTGTATGCGCCCAGTCGTCGCGTTGAATATCATTGTCGCTTGAATTTTGAATTGCTTGTCAGTAAGAGATCTAACAAATAAATCAACGGTTGGAAAGCCGGGAGAAGACTGCAGGGCAGGCAGAAAGACGCCCGACGGAAGTGGAATGAATAAAGAATGAGCGAGTGCCGAATTGCCACGCTCATTCTCTTTCCTTTTAACCACCACCTCAGAATTGACAACCACCTCTTTCCCGTGCGCTCACCCCGCCTGCACCGTTCAGATGTCCTTGGAGAACACCCAGTGAGTCGGCTCATTAGCCTTGCTGTCTCCAAACTCAAGTTCTCGGCTGCTGCAGGCAAGCGTCGCTCAGCCCTCAAGACCTGTTGCAGCAGCGTCGGCGCACGGCAATGAAC